AGACGTTTCTCTCTCCCTTTTCCTCACCGAAAGCTAAGTTATTATGGTTTGGTTAAAACTGTAGTATACTCTTTTGTTGGAACCGTTACCAACGCGGGACTGCCTGTGATTTAGGAAAAGCAAAACAACTAAAAGCCAGAAAGCAAACTAATTGATGCTATGCTGGGAACGGCGGGATGTCAAAATGAGTCTCTTTTCAGATATCCCGCACAAAATCTATTTCGACTGATCTGTTTCTCTGATCCATCTGAAAAACGCAAAAAGTAGAAGCCTACCGCCCCCACTGCTTTGTCAACAGATCTCTGAGCGACAGTTTACCGAGACCCCTCTCTGCTTGCGATGATTTTGCAGCTAAATCAAGATCAATATTCTGATCTCCGACAAGAATTTTATTAATATTTTATTTGAAAATCTCATCTTGTTTCCGACAAGTCCTGGTCTGAGGTTGGTTCAGTTTGGGTAGGGCGTCACCACATTATTTCTTAATGACTTTCCCAGCTGCTTCTTTCCATTTTCCACCATCAACAACCATCTGGTACCTTATTAGCACCTCAATGCTCATTTAGTTTTCTCATTTAGGAGAAAAAAGAAGTAAACACTCAAAATATTACACCTTTTAACGGACCATCTTTGGAAGATTAATGCCTTTATAAACCGATAGATTGTCTCTCTCAGTCTCTTTTTAACCAACAGATCGGAATCGCAGAACTTTCTTTTGGGAAGTGCAAGAGCTGCCATTTTTTTTTTCTGCTAAGATTGTGCTTAATCTCACAGGGAAAAATCTTTCACAGTCATATTTCCGCTGTGTTTATTTAGAGCGTAAATCGATGAAAAGAATTCTATTTCCTAATCTATTATTTTTTTCGGCTTCTGTCGGAATGTATACCAAAGCACTAAAGCTCTTGATCCAATTTAGGAACCGGTTTGGACAGCAAAGTTATACACTAGGGAACTGTGAGAAAACTCGTCCCTTTCATTTTCAAGAATGTATTTTATAACGTAAGTGGAAGTCCGATCCATTTATTTTCGGAAGATGGATACTACAGAACGCGTCTGATTCATCACAATTGAAAAAATAACTTTAATTACTAGTCAAGAACCGGCTTCACCCGGCTTCTTAAATTTACGTATATGAAAAGGGAAGCTCGCAGCTTGTTTTCGACAAAATACCTACAAGAGTCATTAAAAGCTTGGATTTGGTACTTTAAGTTTCAGTTACCCAAAGGCAAAAAAACTTGACTTTTTAGAAAACAAATTATAAATGTCTGAATAGATTTGTAATATATGTATAAGATCTGCAGCAACAGAATACATACCTGAAGAGAGCTCATAATTTCATTTAGTTTATTAGACAAAAATATATGATTTAGACAAGTTTTGCTGACGCGCTATTTACAATCTGAAATCACTCTATATACAGAAAAAACACAAACACATGGGAAACATTTACCAAACAAATAATCCAAGAATGGTTAGAATAACACCATCTGAAATGGTACAATGAAGAAGGGGATCCATCTACAGATTTTTGTAATCGCTTTTATGGATTTGCACCACCTTATTGCAAAAAGAGATTGATGGGAGCCGTTTATATCGTTTCCTTTTTTTTTTTTTTTTTCTGTCCTTAATACCAGTCTCTGTAATATTTTTTCACCAAACCATTTAATCAAGCGGAAGGGAGAGCTGTTAAAATTCTCGGTGCTCCCTCTTGCTGAGCCAAAGAGCTGCAGGGGGGAAGGGAGGAAGGAAAAAAAAAAAAAAGACGTAACAATCTTTCAGGAAAAAAAAAAAGAGAATCCTTTCCTATAATTGCCTGTCTATTGTTATAGCATCCTAGTATTAGTTAATTGCACAGAAATCAGTGTCAGTGGTGTAATTAACACAAGATCTTTGAGGTCTGTTAAGTTTCAGAAAAGTTACAGGCTGGCTATGTACAATTGCAATTTAGCCTAACTTTGAAAAGATTACAGGAACTTCTGTGTTGTTCTTGTTGTCTGTATATATTATTATGGTGATGATTAGGTGTTATAATTAGTCTTTATTATTTAAACACTCTGTTTCACATAAGTAACATTCCTGCAGTGAAAACAAACAAACAAACTCACTTGTCACGGACAGGCTGGAAGGGCGATTTTAGCGGCTGAGGTGGGGATTCAGTTCTTGGTACATTTTCTCTTTCTAGAAGGAGACAGAAGAAAAAAGAAAAAAAAAGACAACAAAAACAGGAGAACGATTTTAGAATAACAACAATAAAAATCTGGACGGTGTGCAGAGAACACACCTCCCTCTCACCCTCTTGTTCAGACGTGTGTAGGCGTATATGTGTGTGTGTGTGTGTGTACAGCACTATTCCTTACTTTCAATATTTAAGGAGTATGCAAGCTTTTCTTGACACATTTTTGACTGTCATTGAAATTACTGGGAGATGAGGGTCAGGAAGGAAAACAAAACTCGAAGAATATGTTTCACAGAGCTATCCCTGCATTCTCATCTTATTTGATGGGCGGATAGGGTGGGAATGTAATAGCCCACAAGAAATGGGCTTGATGTATGCAATCAACATGCTCCAGGAAAAAAAAATCACGCTAGGGTAAACTGTCTGTAACTCCGTTAAAAGCAATCAGTTACACCAGGGCTGAATCTGACACCGTTCCTCAAGGAGAAGTTCATGTGCGTGCGTTGGGGGTGGAGGGAGAGGTGGATGCCCGATGCATTCATTACCTATGTGTTTGGGACTGGTCCTCTCTGAAGGTTTTTCACTGCTTAGGGCTCCCAGGGTTGCTGTTAACACAGAAGGCTGTTGCTGGGCCTGGAGGTGGTGATTGTGATGAGCAGCGTGGTGGTGATTTACTCCCAAAAAGGACCTCACATTGAGCAGGGAACTCTGAGTGAGGAAAGCCCCATTTGTCCAGTTGTGAAATTTGCCAATCTGGCATGTGTAGAGTCCATGGCTAGGGAGAAAAGCGGGGTGCTGGATCTGTGGGGAGGTGTGGTTAACCTGGGGAGGAGGGGGCGGAGGGGGGGAGGATTTCAGGGCACCGTCGGGACTGGTTGCCGTCTCTGCCAAAGACCAAATCTTGGGTTTGCTGTGAGAGGGCATCTGTAAATTGTTCTGTCCCCCGGGACTGATGATTCGCGTGCTGTTGTCAGAGGCCTCCTTCACCATGGCCAGCGCGTCTTTGGGTTTCAGCCCTTCAGACCCTGACAGTGCCAAATCCTTCTCCTTTTCCAAGTGGTCCTCTTCACTGCTTTGTCTCAGGAGCTCGGGCTTCTCCTCCTCTTCCTCGTTGCTCTGCTCCCCATCGTTCTCGTCGATTTTATCTATGTCTATGCTTTCCAGGTCTATTTCCTCATCGTCTTCGTTCTTCTCGGGGTCCCCCTCATTGTCACTCCCGAAGAGGTTTGCATCTTCTTGGTCCTTGCTCCTGGAGCCCCAGGTCACCTTGTTCTCCTTCTTGAGCCGCCGGCGGGCGTTGGCGAACCAGGTGGAGACCTGGGTGAGAGTCATCTTGGTGATGATGGCCAGCATGATCTTCTCGCCCTTGGTGGGGTAGGGGTTCTTGCGGTGCTCGTTGAGCCAGGCCTTGAGGGTGCTGGTGCTCTCCCGGGTGGCGTTTTTGGGCCGCCCCGGGTCCCCGTACTGGAACTGTCCGTAGGGATAATAGCCGGGGGCGGTGTGGGCAGCAAAGGTAGCAGGGTGGACACCCGGATTATCTTTCAGCTCGTACTGGGAGCCCTGCAACACATTCAGACAAGCGGAGAGGAAAAAGCACATCAATTATCTCGTTAGCGTCTCTAACAGACCTGAATAGGCTACTCCGGGAGCCGGAATACGCCTTTGAGCGGTGCAAAGGGTCTTCACAGGCAAACTCGGCCCTCCCCGCTCCAGGCTCTTCACGTTTAGATCCCCCCTTCTTGCTGGGAAAGGAAAAGAGAGGGGCTAAGATGGGCTCTGCCAGACATTATGCCTGTTTTCTCCGCAAACCAAACCAAATCAGACGGTGGAACTGCAGCAACTTCGCGTTCGCCTCGGCGAGACAATTTATTGTGCCCTCGAAATTATCAGGCAGAGAAAGCAGGTACTACACCACAGTTACAAACTAATGCCTGCGCACAACGCCGCATTTATCTGCAGAATATCCAGGAGGATATTACGAATGCATGCAGCGCATTCTTCTTTGGCCCCAGATCTGCCTTTAAAAGGAGTTGGCGTGAGACGAGACTGGGGAGATGAATGCACAACTTCAGTGCGAGACACTTGTAATGTACGAGATTTTCCACACGCAAGGCAACTCCCCCCCCCGCCCCCCAAATCATACACTAAGATTCCCGTGTAAAACATTAACTTCTAACTGTTAGAAGAGCCTTTAAACTCTGGGATGAAAACTGATCCACGCATTGTAGAATATGGATATGCAGACACTTTATCTCATAAGTTTTACTTTGATCTGGGCAGAGCAAACACAAATTGTTTGCAAGCGTTTAGAGACGGTGATTTATTTGCAATCAATATTCTTTTTATCATCAGTAGTAAAACACAGCAAGTCAAATTATCCCATCAGGTGTTTTGTAAATAACATTTTATCTTTCTAGCAACCTCATTAGGCCTCATTATTACCGCAAATTGTGAAGATATTAACTTAGCATTTTAGCTCTTGATTTACCAATGCTCAGAATTTTAGAATTTATTTCAAAATATCACCGTCATGGTAAATCACTGTAGTAAAATACCAGGATACTTTGCGAGTAGGAAAGGGAACTGTTCCTAAATAGCTAACATTTACAGCCGTTTTCTTTTTTTCTTGCTTCTAGCACAGTCTCGCTTTTTTTTTCTAGCCCAGAAATACATTCTTAGTATTACTCTTGCGAAATTTGTGTCAGCCTTATAAATGAACCTCTTCAAAAATGTCCGCGAAGAAACTAATCTAACTTTGTCAAACAGTTAGAAAGGAACATGTATTTTAATTTCAGAGACAAAGCTTATACACAAAGAGAAGCCCGATGTAATTTTTGTAATGTGTTACAGAGTAGGCTTTCCGCACTCCCTTTATTCCGCTGTCTTTTGTTATTGTTGCTGAAATGATATTTTTTGTCTAATCTCTGTTGGGAATTCTTTTGAAGAAGCCACTTGTAAATCACTCATTGCTTCTGTCTCAACTTTTACTGCGTTTCCAAAATCAAGGTTAAAAAAATTAGGAAATGCATGCTGTTAAATGTGCCTTCGTGGGAAATGTTTGCAGCACAAAATGATCTGTTTTCAGATGCTGATCCTTGTTCAACAGCGTATGTACCTACTTGCCTGCATATATGTGTTAAAAACCCTCGCAAGTTATGCCTTACATGCACCCAGTTATAAACATTCCCACTTTTATGTTTTGGGGGAGAGGAAAGACGGGCATTTAGAAATGAAGTGGAACCTATGCGTACCGCCGCCGAGAAATTTGGAGATACTAGCAACGAAAACGTTTCAACGACACCAGAGATAAAACCAGATAGTTAAAAAAAAAAAAAAAAAAAAAAAGATAGATGTTTCACTTTTTAACTATTACATCCTAAAGAGAGGGAGAAAAGAGATCCGAGGACAATCTGGGTGACGGGAATTTGTTTTAGACTTAACGCCAATACGCCTTTCTGCTCCGATGCATATGATGGGATGTAGATGCCCTCCTTCGATTGATGCAAATCCGATCTATGATACTCGCCATAATCAGAGTGTGAAAAGTTCAGGGCACAGAACGGGCCGGTTTTAAGGCTTAAGGAAAATGTCTTGAAATAAACGGGCGTACCAGCTACCGACACTGCACTTTGGCCTTTCGGACGGAACCTGTTTATAGCTCGGCGGCAAAGAAAAGGACCAGGCGGAAAGAGGAGCGCGCTGGAAAGGCAATTGAAACAACAGGACCGACAATATCACCCGTCAACAACAACACCAATAACAGCAAGAGAAAAAAAAAACCGAACCCGAGTTGCTAGGGAAAGCCGACAACGCGGAGGCAGGAGCCCTGCTCGGCCCTTTCGCCGCCAAGAGGGAAAACTCGGAGGAGTTTTGCCCGGCTGGAGCGACGGGGCGGCTGGGGGCTGCGCCTGCGGACGGAGCCCGCC